CACCAACACAGTGTCAGGTGGTGCAGAACGGCGCTCCAACGTGCCACACGGAAACCGGTGCGAAAAGGAGACGTCCCAATTTTACACTGTACGGTGGCAACATCGAACGCAACATGACGTTGGAGGGGGAAGGGCGGGGCATCCACTAGCCATTAGGAGCCCCCCCCCCCCCCACTACCGGAACCTCATTAAAAGTATATACGGATGTCAGAGACGATCGGTCCTAACGGCACATTCGTGAAAATCCTCAAATCATCAACATGGCACGTGACATCACGTACAGACTATAAGGCACCGACATCGTGTACCTACTATAAGGAATAAACTGATAGATCTAAATACAGGCTGGCATGAAATCAGGAAGACAATTCGTCCAATGATCATGTAAAGATCATGCCAACGCTTTAAGTCGTAAACCCAACACTGGACGCCGCATGCCTTCGTCCAATTCCCTACCCTACAAGCCAGGTCTCACCGTGGCCGGACTGCGGGTGTGCTGCCACGGACCGAATCCGCTCGTGGTGACGTGGCAGCGAGCGATTGGAGTACTGCTCCCCGCCGCCCATGCCGCCACCCCAATCGCATCATCGCCTGCACCGACTCGTACTCGTAGAAGCTGCCGATTGGTCGATCACCAGGCCGAGGCTCCACCCTTCCGCCGCGTTGCGAGTGATATACCTGGTGCTGCCGGCTGGCGGCGGAGATGGCGTTACAACGGAACCGTCGGCGCGACGGCCTAGCGCAGCCACAAAACGGTACCGCTCGCAGCCATGCAACGCGCGCTGCATCAATAGGGAATGAACGACGCAAAGACGGGCTACGAATCAGCACTTCCAACAGCCGCATCACGACGCACTATAAAACTGTGAAGACCACAAAGCTATTCTCAGCACTCCAAACAGCTGCATCACGACTATAAATCTGCGAAGACCACGAAGCTATTCTCAGCACTCCGAACAGCTGCATCACGACTATAAAGCTGCGAAGACCACAAAGCTATTCTAAGCACTCCGAACAGCTGCATCACGACTTTAAGCTGCGAAGAACACAAATCTATTCAGCTGCATCGGTCAGGTCAGGGAAATCCGCCAGCGCAACTCAGACAAAAACGGCGGCCAGTTATCTTGCGCTATGACTACAGTCATGGATACAAAGCTGGCTGTACCGGCGTGGCTGCTGTAAGCAACTCAGACAGATGCGCCACTGCTGCGGTTATTTCAGCTCTCGCTTCAGTCGATGCGTCTGCACTGTTAGTACAGTACGTACTATACTGTTAAATAAGCACACATCCCCGACTTTAGGTTTTCAATCCTGTTCCAGCGCCCGCGGATAGCTTTAAGGCCCCCCATGCTCCTGCAGAGTCCAGGTGAGCCGAGACAGGGAAGCGAAGGCAAGCTGCGAGCCAGCTCAGGCGTCACCAGTTACGCATTCAAAGCAATTCGAAAAGCGGTTAGCGCAAGGGAATGGCGAACAGCAACGTACCATGACATGCAAACCAGCCAACTCTCATTCAACCGATCTCAACAGCTAGTAACAACCCAGCCACGTCTTTGGGGGGAGCCGCATTCGAACGCAACCCAATCGAGCTCAGTTGCCACTGGAAAGGGTCCCCCGCCGGCCATGCACGTTAGTCCGCCTCCAAGCACGTGCTTCTGCCCCGCTGGAAGCGACAGCCCACACCTGGCGTCCGCCCGGAACTGGGCCTCCAGCTGCTCGAGCAGTACCTGCCACTCCAGCGCTTGGGCCTGCGAACACGCGTCCCGCACCGTTCAACAGCCGGCGCTGGCCGCAGAGCGCTCGGCAGGACCAGGACCGACCACCACCGGCCAGGACGGCTCTTCAACACTGACAGCCATGCGGACATAACACCGGTCCCACCACCAGGAGCGCTCCACCAGCCTTCCGCATCCCATGTGACATCGCTACACGTGCATTACGCGTCACGACACTAAATTTTGCCATACGCGGCAGCGCCCACTCTTTGCCACTCCTGTCTAACTCTTCTCTCTCCCCGTTAGAAACACCCACCAGGTGTTCCCGTTCACCGCCTCGTCCCAACTCCTGACAACGCCTCGCCCCAACTCCTGACAATGCCTCGCCTGACAAGGACAGCGCCTCGTCCCAAGTCCTGCCAGCGCCTCGCCTAAACTCCTGACAGCCCCGTCCTACTCCTGACAGCGCCTCGCCCTAACTCCTGACAGCGCTTCCACTCGCCGGAGCGCGCCGCCACCGTCAGCCATGAGCTGACCTCACGGCGGCTCTGACTCTGCCCAGCGGCCACAATGACCCCACAGAACACCGGGTCAGGCTTGGCAGGGAGGGTCTCTCACGCCAGCTGCCGCATTGCCCGCTTATTACCCTTCTCCTTCATACCGAAGCGCTGAAATGACGACTGCTGCCGAAAAAGACTAATCCAAACCAAACAAAAATCCCCGGCAGGACAGTATGACCTGGGGTGCGCCCTCGACGAGACCTCCCCGACTGCTGCAGTGACCGCCTGCCAACTCCCGGCAGGACAGTATGACCTGGGGTGCGCCCTCGACGAGACCTCCCCGACTGCTGCAGTGACCTCCTGCCAACTCCCGGCACCCGCTGCACCAGACTCCCAGAGTTTCCGTCTCCCATTGAGCATCACGACACCGGTCCATGCCCTCCCCTCCCCTGTCGGCAGCGAGCCACGCTGGGCGCGACACTCACCGCGGACCGTACTGCGCCTCCTCGTAGCCGGGGTGGTGCACGTAGCGTGGGCCGGGCTCGGCCAGGCCGGTCCGACTGCCGGGCCGGCGCATCGAGTCGTACGGGTCCGGGGTTGCCGCGCCAGACGGCCGGCGGTCCTGGCTCCTCCGCCCGCTGTCGGCACAGGTCACCGGGGTCAGCAGGGGTCAGGGGTGCCGTGCCAGACGGCCGGCGGTCCCGGCTCCTCCGCCCGCTGTCAGCACAGGTCACCGGGGTCAGCAGGGGTCAGGGGTGCCGCGCCAGACGGCCGGCGGGTCCCGGCTCCTCCGCCCGCTGCCGGCACAGGCCACCGGGTCCGGACACATTTGTGGGCGTCGGAACAAGCCAGCAATGCCGGTCCCGGAGAGGACAAGGCATCAGCGGCGACGGCGGAAGGCAGAGAACATCACGACGCCAGACCGTGTAGGACTCACAGTAAGGTCCACGAACAACAGCCGCTGACGTCTTGTGGAAAGGGGAAACTCCTCTGAGAGCGTCTTATGACCAAGAAAAGGCTAGCATCGACTTAAGACCAGTGGGGGTTGAGTGGGGTGGCGTGGCACCAGGCATGGGGAGGTAACAGGACATCACAGCAGGCCGTAAGGCGCCAGCGTCCAGCAGCGCACATCGGACAAGAGTGCGGAGGGTGGGGCGCGTTTAAGCGCCAAAGAGTCAACACGCCGGGTCACGATGGCAAAAACAACCGGCACTGTCATCACTGCTACATCTGGAAACGACAGATGAAGCGAAAGTGGAGACACAGTGATATTAGCATGCAGCAAATGTCACGGTGCAGAGCGAGCTGTCCACCGGACGTAGACAACAGCGGAGGACTGAGACACACAGAATAGCCACCGAGCCGCCGTCAGTCCAGGCGCGACCCGGACCGACGCCCGCGCCGCAGCAGGCCACGGCGCGCGGAACGCCACCTCTCGGCGCCATGCTAGCGTGCGGAGCATTCGGTCGCGGCCGTCACGCACCACGCGCGTTAGTCGGAGCCTCTCCGGTGACGCAGGTCCGCCGCTCGGGTTAGTTCGCAGGCGGCATGCTGGCGCACGCATGCGGCGCGTTCGCGCATGCTCCGCAGCCCGCCGCGTGGCCGCGTGGCCGCGTGGCGTCCGTGCTTCGCCGTGCAGACCGCGTGCCGTGCTGGGCCTGTCGAAGGCCGCCGCCTGCCGGCGCGCAGTGCGCAGACGCGCGCCGGCGCACCACCTACCCAGAAGGCGGCGCGCTCGGCCGAGAGCGGCGCCGGCCGCCGGTTGCGGAAATACTCGCTGCTGCGCGCGCCGCGCGCCAGCGGCCCGGCGCGCCAGAAGGCCGCCTCGCAAACGTTATTGTTGAGCCTGTCGGTGAGGTGGACCGGCGGCGGCGGCGGCACGTGCGGCTTCAGCTCCGCCTGAAACGCAGCGCCGTCCGCAGGCCGTCAGCGGCGCCGCGTCCGCCGCCGGGACGGAGGACGAGGCGGACCCGGGCGGCCAGCGGGCGCCGGCTCGCGGCTTGTACCGCCGGCTCAGGACCAACTCCAGCAGAACCTGCCCCGCCTTCGCTGCGCCCTGTGTGCGACCGCGACACGTGCCGCGCCGCCGCGGGGCGCCAGGCCGCGCTCCTGGCACCAGAGCGGCCACACGACTCTGCAAGGCGTCATGGACCACCGCCGCCCACGTCCCACTACAGACCGTCCACGGACCCATCTCCTCCGTCATTACCCCTTCGCGGCCGCACTGCCAGCGTACCTCCCTGAGCTGCTGCTCGGCCCGCTCCTCGGCCGTCTCCGTGCGGTACACCGCCCTGGCGGCCGGGCGTGGCGACGCTGGTGCGCTCGCGCAGCTGCTGCACCGCTCGACGACTGGCCGTCCTCTCGGGGCGGCGGCGGCGGCGGGGGCGGCTGAGGCGCCTGTGCGACACACAGGGCAGCCGTCAGTGGCGGTACAAGGAGCGGCACAGACGTCCACGAGTCACAGGAGCGGCGCAGACGTCAGCATTACGATCAAGAACACGTGAGGACGTGCGAGGACCATTGCAGGCTGAGCGGGGGGGACTATCGTCACGAGAAGGACGGCGTTCACATTGCTGACCGCATGCGATTCCGTCCTCTGAAAAAAAACCTGCTGGACTGGGTTATCACGTATTCGTCGTGATCTGCCATACCACACATCTAACGTGGTTGTATGGCCCGATACTCAAACCTTGGTGTTCCTCCTGCATCACGCGAGCCATAATACACTACTGATGGCGCTAAGCCCGCGCACGGGCACCTGCGGCTGCTGCAGCTGTCGCAGCATCCCTCACGGTCTGTGCGAATGCTGCTGCTGCTGCTGCTGCTGGGCCTGCTGCTGCTGCTGCTGCTGCTGCTGTACCAGCCGCTGGTACTGCTGTTGGATGCGGCGCTGCTCGTCTTCGGCTCGGCGCCGCGCTGCGATCCTGTTGAGCTCGTCCTGCTGCTGGCGCAGCTCGTCAGCCGTCATCCGCGGCGGCGGACCAGACGTCTCGCTGCTCTTGCGGTGCCGACCGAACCTAACGCCGGCGGCGAAGGCGGAAGGTCAGAGCCACGCCGGCAGTGGCGGCAGCCGTGACGTCAGAGCCGCAACGGCCAGCACGACGGCGTACGACATAATCATGGCATGAGATACGAAACGAAGTGCCGTATCTTTGACCTGTCAGTGACTTAACGTGCTCCCATCTTCGATTTGGATCGAGCAAGCAAGCTCAAGCATCAACTTCACGGGGAAAGTTCCAACGCCCACACTTTTTCACCCTCGCCACATCAGCGAGTGAAACCGCAGGGCACGCGGGCATGCGACCCCCGTCCGGCCGCTGCGAGGCGGCTCCTCTGCGTACCTGAACATGCTGCCGAGTCCCCTGAGCAGACCCGAGCGTCGCTTGGCCTTCTTGCCCTCGACGGCCGCCGGAGCTGAGCGAGCTCTGGCGGGCGGTGCGGTCCCGGCTGAAGAGGGCGCCGCCGGCGTCCGGCCCGGCCGCCTCCTCGTCCACTGCCGGCCCGACGGGTCACGGTCAGGGTCAGGGTCAGGGTCAGGGTCACGGCCAGGGGCAGGCGGCAGCAGGCGCGGCGCGATGCGATGGGCCACAGCCGGGTACGGGCACAGCAGCTTGGAACTGAGGTTATGGGGACTTCGAGGCACTCGGGACAAAATATGGTACGGTCATCAATCAAGAAGCATGTGATGTGATGGCCGTGATGTGTGCCGCAAGGGCAGCTCTTTAAACCTTTCAGTCTGATCAACAGTCATGTTCGCGTAACACACAAAGCTAACCGGACCGCGGGCAACAGACATACTGAAGAAGACGCCATTAACGCGATATCTTTGCTAACCATGTCGATTCTGACTTAAATGCATGTGCTGATAATGATGGAGCCTTGATGTTCAACGCATCTTACACCATGTTTTACCCATCATCAGGCTCATGGTGAGGCTTCTGTATTGATAAACTGCTCAGAACGAACTGCTAATTACAACGCTAATTTTCGCTCCTCCAACATTAAACGCATGCAAAATATCGCTACGCAGTTTCACGTATTTTAAAAGAAAAGGCTACGGAAAGTTGTGGTGGAACAATGGAATGACATCTATGGCAATGCCACTTATCCCGTAAGATAAACTGACGCCAGAAAGGCAAGGGGAAAATCATACGCGAACAAGGAAAGGCCAACTCCATAGGCAAGGCAGACAGATCGGTGTTTGGAAGCCAAATAAGCACAAGTCGGCGAGCCACCAGAGCGTCAGACCATCTGTGTCGTCTCCCAAACCAACAATTAAGTCACCTTTTAATCGATTCCATCCGACGTCAGCCAACTTTAAGACGATTCTGTCTTTTGATCAGCCCGTTATTGTCAGCCCTTTTGATCAGCCCGCCCGTTATTTTGTTTTCTTAGAGCACCGACATCTAGTCCCTGGTTATCCTACCCCGGCCGCTGGTACTACTTGACCTCCGCCCCGCTCACCCGCTCACCCTTGACCTCCGCACTGCTCACCCGCTCACCCCTGACCTCCGCTCTGCTCATCCACTCACCCTTGACCCTCCGCCCCGTTCACCCGCTCACCCTTGACCTCAGCCCCGCTCATCCGTGACCTCGGCTCCGCTCACCCTTGACCTCCACCTCGCTCACCGGTTTCCATGACGTCACCGTTGTCGTCACCCAGCGGCGCTTCGTAGCTGCGGTCGACGGCGGCGCGGAAGCTCTCGTTGCAGCCGCGGCCGCGCACCACCTTCACGGGGCCGCGGTGCGGGTACGACCGCTTCGCCCTCCTCGGCCAGCGCCAGCTGGGCACAGGCGTGACCACAGTCACCGCACAGCACCGGCAGCCCGACATCGTCAGCAGTCAGCTGAGCCAACCAGGGCACAGCCGCGACCAGTCACCGCACAGCACCGGCAGCCCGACATCGTCGCAGTCAGCTGAGCCAACCAGGGCACAGCCGCGACCAGTCACCGCACAGCACCGGCAGCCCGACATCATCAGCAGTCAGCTGAGCCAACCAGGGCACAGCCGCGACCAGTCACCGCACAGCACCGACAACTCGACAGCATCAGCAGTCAGCTGAGCCAACTAGGGCACAGCCGCGGACCAGTCACCGCACAGCACCGACAACTCAACGGCATCAGCAGCCAGTTGGCAGTGGTCAGCTGAACCAATGGGCGACGCGCGCCGTGATAACATCGAAACAATCATACACGGGCCAGGCATAAAAACGACTCAGCACTGCCGGCAAAATGTCAACCAAAGTACAGTATTAGGAAGCAGCCCATGTCATACGAGAAACACGACCACTCCACGAAGCGATACGGAAGCCACAGCAGGTCGCTCCGCCCGATGCTGTCGACTGACCGCCGCTTACCTCATGCACCATGGTCTGGAGCGACTCGAGGCTGGACGACTTCTTCATGCCCAGACTGGGACCGACGTCGTCTGCGGACGGACGGCCGAAGGTCAGACGACAGTTAGCGGCACGCGCTGCAGCGGCACGGCTCGACCGCCGCCGGCGGCGGCGATCCTCTACGCCACCGCATCGTCTGACCGAGAGACGGAGCGCCGCCGCGTCCGCCCGCGTCGCCTCCCGCCCGGAGCGGCGCGCACACTGACGGCGGCGACGGCCCTGAGCTGCCCGCCGGCTGCCGACTGGCGCGCGCCGCCGGCGCCGCTCCGAGCGTGACCGGCCACAATGGAGCGGCGGCGGCGGCGGCACGCAACCGGGGGGCGGCGCGGCCCGCCGGCAGATCGGGAGAAACAGTCCGGCGGCGGCCGACAGCGGGCCTCAGTCAGAGATAGCGCCCACAACGGTACCATGCCGGCCTCGGGCGGCGGGCTGGACAGGAAACTGAGCCGTGCGCTATCCCGCCGTGCAAGGTAATGGACAGGTAGGAACGGAACGCCTTCAGAGCAGATATCAGCCTTGCCGCTGACCATGCACGGCAGGCGCTGAGCCTTGTCCTTGGTGGACAGCTGCTGGAGGACCATATGATAAACACCCATTCCATGAGGACAGCGCTGCTGGAATAAAACAGGCACCCACACCAAAGCCGGCCGATCCGAGTGGATTCCGTGAGCCGAGGGGGCCGCCGGGCACAGACGAGCACGACACGCAGGCCTCCACCCGACCCGACACCTGGTGCCGCCGGGAGCGGTGCGTGGCGCGGAGAGTCGGGTTCTGCTCATGCGCGTACGTACTGGGCGGCTGGGGCGGCTCGGGCTGCGTTAGTGACTGGTGTGAGGCGCTGCGTCCGCCGTCGGTGGCCGCGCGTCCTGGCGACACGCCCGGACAGGCGCGGCTCAGCGCCCCCGCCGACACGCGCGCACACTCGCAGCGGATGTGTTAACAGGCAGACAGAGCTGAACGTACTACTACCCTCACCCGTACACATCAATGCCTCGACACACAGACACACAACCCGCGTGGGTTAAATTGTTATCTCGTTCGAGTAAGAAAATGTTAGTTGAATCGCAAACAAGTCGGTTAGTCACAGCACACAGTATACACAAGGACGACGTAGGGAGCATGAAGCAGAAGGTTACGGCACATCTGACGACCTGCCAGAAGAACGTACCACGACGGCTTACTGCCCGGTCTATGCTCTCAGACCCGTACTGACAGCCAGCCCCTGACCTTCCGACCGGCTGCAGGTCAGACTCTAGCCCGGTCCGACCTCGCACCCCTGGACCAGAGCCTGACCCAACCTAAACCCTGGACCGAAGCCTGCCTGAACTCGTATCCCTGGACCGAAGCCTGTCTGACCTCCCACCCTGCACAGAAGCGTCTAACCTCCCACCCTGGATCAGAGTCTGACCTGACCTCGCATCCATAGACCGGAGTCTGTCTGACCTCCCACCTCGAACAGAAGCCTGTCTGACCTCCCTCCCTGGACCGGAGTCTGTCTGACATACCAACCTGAACCGGAGCGGACCTGACCTGCCCCCCCTGGATCGGAGTCTGATCTGACCTGCCACCCCTGGACCGGAACCTGACCTGACCTGCCACCCTGGACCGGAGCCGGACCTGACCTGCCACCCTGGACCGGAGCTGACCTGACCTGCCACCCTGGACCGGAGCAAGACCTGACCTGACCTCCCACCCTGAACCTAAGTCTGACTTAGCCTGCCACCCTGGACCGGGTCCTGACCTGACCTGCCACCCTGGACAGGAGTCTGACCTGACCTGCCACCCAGGACCGGAGTCTGACCTGGCCTGCCACCCTGGAACCAGGGCCTGACCTGACCTGCCACCCTGGACAGGAGTCTGACATGACCTGCCACCCTGGACCGGAGTCTGACCTGGCCTGCCACCCTGGACCGGGTCCTGACCTGACCTGCTACCCTGGACCGGAGTCTAACCTGATCTGCCACCCTGGACCGGGGCCTGACCTGACCTGCCACCCTGGACCGGGGCCCTGACCTGACCTGCCACCCTGGACCGTTGCCTGACCTAACCTCCCACCGTGGACCGGGGCCTAACTGACCTCCCACCCTGGACCGGGGCCTGCCTGACCTCCCGCCCTGGACCGGGGACTGCCTGACCTCTCACCCTGGACCGGGGACTGCCTGACCTCCCCCCTGGACTGGAGCCTGACCTGGCGGCCGGCCGTCGTGCGCCTCCTCCCGCCGCAGCTCGGCCTCCAGCAGACGGCGCTGCTGCTCGCGCTCCTCGCGCGCCCGCTTGGTGCGCTGGTACGTGTCCGTGCTCTTGGCGTCCTTGGACGCGTGCCGCTTCTCGCTGATGGACTGGCGACCCAGTTGATCGCGGGTAAAACCTACGCCCGCCTGCTCCAGCGACGTCCTGGCGGCGGGGGGGGGGGGGGGGGCGCTGCGTCACCGTCCGCCCGGGCTGGCAGGGGAGGCGCCTCTCGCGTGCGAGGGAGAGGCCGCTGGGGGCTGGCAGCGGACGAGCCTCTCACGTGCGAGGGGGAGGCCGAGACGTGATGGTCCAACCGGGGCTCGCAAGGGAGACGCCTCACATACGCGCACACATGTCCCACGCATGACACACGCAGCGGACGGAACAAACTGCAACCCACCAGGGAACAAAACCACGGCGGCGTCACGCAGGGATAGCAAGCAGCCATGTGGTCCAGATCCTATGACCTTAAGAACACAAGGCGTAACCATAACCATCGTAACCATCTGCGAGATGTTCAACGTCTGCCAGATGGGCGCACGGTTACACCGCAAGTCACCCAAATCAAGATCCGGCACAGAACTTCATACACTACCTTATAAAACCATATGCAGATAACTTCCGAGGCATTATCAAAACCACAACCCCTGACCACGAGATCGTGGTATCTGACGGCGATCGACTGCCCCTTCCAATCACTGGTGGCACCGCCCGTGTCGCCCGCGTGTTTCCGAGGCCCCGCCGTCCTCCGACCGGCAGTCGACTCACTGGCTGGCGTAGGCCACGTCCGTGTTGGAGTCGCTCTGCTGGCTGGCGAGCGAGGCCGGCGCCGGGTCCGTCTCGATCAGCACCGTGTCGCCGGACGGCATGTTGACGGTGGGGCAGAGCGGCGGCGCGCCCCGCTCCGGCTCGGCCGGCGGCAGCCGCTGCTGCTGCTGCTGCTGCTGCCGCTCCGGCGCGTCCGCCCACGAGCCGTGCGTCGCCTGCCGGGACGAACCGCCGGCCGGCGTTCGTCAGCGGGTCGGGCGCTCAGCGTCAGGCGCGTGAGCATGGAAGGGGGGGAGGGGCGGGGACGGAGGGGCGAATGGTAGCAGCGTATCTGCGACCACTGGGCGCGGATATGCGAACGTGGACTGGCGCAGAGCACGACCGGCTGGCACCGAATCTGACCAGCGGGACCACATCACTTGTAACTTGCTCGTCGGGTGGGACGACAGTCCCAATAATTTACTGTTTCCTGCAACTTTCGCCTTTAGCAAGAAGCCGCACACAACAAACCGCAGTCACAAACCCGCCAGCACCCGCGAAATCCACGCACGGTGGATGGACCCCCGCCCCACCCCACCATGTAGTAGCTGTCGTTGCGCATGTTGTTCCGGCCGGTGAGGACGGTCGATGACGGGGTTTCTGCCGGGCGGCGGCGCCGGCTCGGCCGGCACCGGCGGCGGCGCCCGTCGGTGCGTGATGGTGACCTCCGAGCCGTCGGCGGCGGCCGGCTCCGGGCCGCGCCACGCCGACACCTCGCCTGCCACCGCGGGGCGGCGCCGTCACCACAAGGTCGGCAGCACGCCATAGGTCACGGAGGCGGGCGAGCGGCCAGAGGTCGGCCGCCACTGACTGGTACATACGCCCCTACGCCACTATCACCTGTCTCTCAACGCACACCACACTGTGCTTCCAGCTGGATCTGACAAATTCGAGACAAATACCACACACTGACGCGATTCAGTTTCCACATCACATGGGTTTTAACGGGAGCCAAATGCGCTACAAAATAACTACATGCCCTGCAGACTCCAGAAGCCACAAATGGATACACAACACTACCGGCCCTCCAGCCAGGCGTACGATGAGCCGGAACTGCCCCAAAGGCGTGATCCCGCGCCGTCTGAAGCCGGTGTGAGGAGACCCGACTGACCTGACGAGCTGGAGATGAGGCTGCTGGCCGACTCGCGGCCATTGCTGAGAGCGGCGTCCCTCCGCCGAGCCACCGTCAGCGTGATCACCCCAGGCCTCGGGCCCTGCACATCAGACAGACCCGTCAGCCCACTGAACACGCCGCGGACCGACCACCGCCGGCTGCCGCACGCCAGACGCGCCCGTCAACCGACTGAACACGGCACGGACCGACCACCGCCGGCTGCTGCGCACCAGACAGACCTACCATCCGACTGAACACGGCACGGACTGACCACCGCCGGCTGCCGCACGCCAGCGCACTCGGGCCCTCCGATGTGTTCGTTCCAGTATTTCCGTGCGATAAAAACAACATAAAAACGGAAGATCATTGGGGATATGTACCAAATCACCTCAGTGACAGACAAGCATACCTTAAGCATGGACCCAGCGCGGCAGATTCACTGACAACTCTGTTAACCTTTTACCCATAAGCATAACGTTGCGGATTCCTACATCGAGTGTCTCCGTCGTTCTCGGTTTTGTTTCAGACTAGCGGAACAGAAATGCTTCGTGCCAACGGGGGCAATGAGGACGAAATCGACGCTTTTGCGTCACATCGTTGTCTTTGATTTCAATATTATTTTCCCCGCAATATTCTCAAAGTGTGTTTTGGAAGCATCTGAGTGAATAAGAAGCGCAATAGATTATCACCTGCAGGGAAGTATTGAATGACATAGTCCATCATGTCTTCCGGAATATCAGCCAGTGTTCGACAGGCTGTCTGGTATACTACGCCATCGCCATACACGACCGCCTTATTCATGCATTTGCTTTTGAAGTTTAGGAATAATCTGAATGTTAAAATACGGTTTTCGGACACGAAGGCAAATATATATACATTGGTCCCCCACCCCGATCTGAGATAAAAGGTGTTTGTCTCATCTCCCAAGCCCATCCGCGACCCGATATTTGGGCGATGGGAACGGAAGCCATGTCCTCATTAATATCCGCAGACCAAATTCAGTGAGTGAGGATCACATCTGCACGAATGACAAGCCACCATAGCCAGGGAAGAAAGCCAGATTCTGCACCACGGTTGAGCCAGGACCACCATTTTGTTTACATGACGTCACCGCCTAGCGTAACCTCACACCAGAATAGGTTCCAGCCATGTTTATTTGTACCGGCATCGGTCGGTGGCCGCGGAACATCGTGGAGAAGTCGGTCGCCGCATTTTTAGCACAGGGAGACACCGAAACTTAAAAAGGCCGCCCGAAACGCGACCGAAACGCCAGTAGCCACACATAACCTCCCATCTGTATCTGCTCACGGTCGTGGGCGGCGGCAGCCATTGCAGCCAGCGAAAACAGGATCGGCAGTAGCCAACCATAACCCGGGCATCACCTGCGGCCGGCCTGGCCCATGGCCCGCCGCAGTGTCCATGGTCCGGCCGAAACACGGCCCATCCTCATCACGAGCCACTAGCCGCCCATAACCCGACACCGTGTCCGCTCCGGCGTCACATGGTAAGGCGCGGCGCGGCGCACCGTGCTCCATGGACGGGCCTTGACCTATCAACGGCGCCTCGCGTATCCCAGGTCACATTAGAGGAGTGCGGCCATTAGCTGCCCATAACCCGGCGCTCGGTGCACCGACTCACCTCCTGGCACATGGCGCGCCGCAACGTCTCCATCGCCTGGCCGTTGCTAAGGCCGAGCAGGGCGCTATTGTTGATATCGATCAGCTGATCGTTGTGCTGCAGCCGGCCGTCCTTGCTTGCTGCGCCGCCGTGGATGACGCTCTTGATGAAGATACCAACGTCCACGGGGCCGTTCTTGCCCGGCGTCGTCTTGCCCTTGACGCTGACACCTGGCGGATATGGGGCGAGGCGGTGCTTTACCGAACGCTGCCTAGGTGCGTATAGATACGAGCATTTCTTCCATTTCCGCAACAGCACCCTGATGGCCTCCCACTTGCTCAAGTCGTATGAGCGTTCTTTGGCCGGGTATTACAGACAGTCCAGACGGTTTCAGACAACACAAACGCCGTGCGGCTCACCGTTCTCCCCCCGCAGCTCACGCACTTCTCACAACTGGCCGACCCTGTCACGGGCCAGAGGCGCTCCGCAGCCAGCCGACTCACCCAGCCCGGCGCGCTCCGAGTCGTGCACGGGGATGTCGAACACGAGCACCTCCTTGTCGGTGACGCCGGCCGGCTCCTCCTGCGCCGGCTCCGGCGGCTGCCGGACGGGGGCCGGTCAGAGCGGGCCGAAGCGGGCCACCTCCCAGCGCCGGGCCGCCCACGGGCGCGTCAGCCGACACAACAGCGGCCCCAGCTCAGCATTCCGCCCGGGGGCGGCGCCGCGCGCGCACACGACACCACGGCCTCGCAGCCCGCGGTTACTCCAGCAGCCGTGCTGATTTACGAGGGTAAGCTACGCGTACGCAAAACGCCCTTTAAGCATTCGATGTTGCAACATGCAGACCGGAAGTGGGCAGCGGCAGGTGCAGCACGCGCCGCCTACACAGGTATCTGATCAGTTCTGAGAGTCAAGCGTCACCTGCACTGGCGGCTGCTTGCGAGCGCATGTATGGGTACGGGACATTCAATGTGAATTGCTGTGTTCTGGCCCCGATTGGAGGTAGCGTGCACGGTGTGTCGGTGTCTTGTACCTTTGTCCATGTTGTTTTCTCGGCAGGCGGTGCGGTGCTCGCCTAAAATAGAGCGTCACCGGTCAGACGAAATGTTCCCAACAAATAAGGCACCACTGTCATGCTGGAAGGAACCCAGAAACCAGGACACGCCCGCATATTCGCCGATACAGTCATCGAATAATAAGGTTCTGGGAGGGGTATCGCTCACAGGAAAGCTCCGATGAATCTCCACGATGAGGGAAAGCCTTCCCCGCTGAAGCGGGGGACCGCGCTGGCCAGCTGTACCCACCAGCGGCCGGGGCAGCCGGGGACTAGCCTCGTCGGCCTTCTTGTCGTCGGGCTGCTCGTGTCGCGAGAGCACCAGCTCGACCGGCTGTCCGGGCACGACGGCGCGCAGCATCTGCACCACCTGCTGCTGGCTGAGTCCGGTCACGGCCGCGCCGTCGATCTCCAGCAGCCTGTCACCGGGCCGCAGCCGGCCGTCCTCGATGGCGGCGCCCTGCCGAGCACGAGCACACGCACACGGCCGTCACCCAGCGCCGGCCGCGCGAGTCAGCCGCGGGCCGCCGCCGGCCCCGACGACACCGTACCGCTCGGCTGGACGCAGTGCGGCGCGTTGCACATTTTAAGAAGCGGTATATGAAAACAAAACCAGAGGAAAGGACGATACATTTAGACGGAGTTTCATGCGAATGTGATAACGCGACGGACCCAACGGAGGGGCAATCCAGCAACGCACACATACCAGTATCCCAGCCGGGACGTTATCACAGTCAGCTCCATGTGCAGGCACGCAGGACAGGAGGTACCTTTGGGCCTCGGATCACGGGGCGCGAGGTGATGGAGTGTTCGGGAGATGAGGACCATCATGGATAGATTCTGGGAACAGCGCAGTGGATGAAACACAACACAATGACCACACAGAACGCATTTCTCCGCATGATACCACATGCAGGCATAAACCACGACAGGGAAAGTCTGACACCTCGCCACCTGGACCTCGACACTGACGACAACAAAAGACTCGCACTCTCGACGCTTTGCATGTGCAAGGCCCCGTGAAGGCCCACCGTCTCGGAGGCACCGTCCCACAGCCGTGCCGCGGGCGCCGCCGCCCACCGGCGGCCGGTCGGCTACCTTGGGCAGGATGTTCTTGACGTAGACGGGCGCGTGGCCGCCGGCCGGGTTGTCGCGCGTGGTCACGCTGAAGCCCAGGCCGGCGGCGCCCTTCACCAGCGCCACCGACAGCCGGCGGCCCAGCTTGCGCGTGTTGGACGTCAGCATCACGTTCTGCGTGCGCGACGACAGCGAGGCCGGCACCTTCTTGGTCGGCGTCACCGTGGCCACTCGCGAGCCGACTGCCGGCGCGGGCAGGGCGTCAGTGGGGGTCTCCGCGCTGCTACGGAGGAGCGCGGGAGACGCGACGACCGGGGCCCGGCAGACATGCGCTCGTCCGCGGGCCTGGCGGACGAGCTCGTAAACCCGCACTGTGTCCATTCGATGTGCCGTCGCAACACAACAAACAAAGCGCATCCGAAAATGAGGAAAAACCCATGTCTAAAATAAGGGTCACATCAGGCCGCCACAACCAATATAACCAATGAGCACACAAGCCAACATCTAAGTACCTCACAGAGGTGTCACTCTAGTCAACCGCAGCCAATCACCAGTGACGAGGCGTTTTGCTATCACAATAGCGCCGACAGCGCGCTCCGTCCGCCACACCACGGCTGGCGACGGCCCGTCCGCCGGCCTGACCCCGCCGGCCAGGTGCGTACCTTTCTCCTCGGGCGCGACGCCGTCGACGGGCGTGTGGGAGCGTGACCGCGCGGCCGGGAAGACGGGCGCCGGCGGCCGGGCGGCGGCGGCGCTCACTGTCAGCCGCAGCTCGCCCTGGCTCATGGCCATCGTGAACAGCTCCTGCGCCCTGCCGGTCGGAGCCAGGCCCGGTCAGCGACACGCGCACACACACACACCGATCGAGTAGGCGGGCGGGCGGGCGACGACCCGGACAACACACGGCGGACATGGCCGGAGTGATGAGCGTGGAACAGGCCGCTGGCGCCGGAGGACACTGAGGTCGTGTTGTCACAGCGATCCCAGTCGGCATGACCGGCAGCTTCAGGCGGGGGCAAAACTAACGACGTTTCAATGGGCAGGCCAGTCCAAAAACGGCGATAAGTACGCCACACGGACGTGGCACACCAATTTGCGACGACTCGTGAGCGTGCAGTAACCACACGCTGCCGTGCCACAAACGGCACAACATCCGGAGGACGCACGCTAAGTTCAATGACTGCTGCACAGAAAACAAACCATGCCCGCATTAACAAGCCGTGCTCGGCTCGGGCGCATGCCAGCACATGACGCAACGGGCGAGAACCGTTATAATCCGTCCACAGAACACATCACGCGGCAAAGCAGCACAAGGCGGCCGACCACTGTCGCACCGTTAGCGCCAAGGTCCCGGCCGTCGGCGCGCCGGCAGCGCGGTCGCGCGGGACGCCGAGGAGCGACACGCCGGGGAGCGGGACGCCGGGGAGTGAGACGCCGGGGAGTGAGACGCCGGGGAGTGGGACGCCAGGGGTGGGGGAGCACACCGGGAAGCGGGACGCCGGGAGCGACACGCTGGGGAGTGAGAAGCCGGGGAGCGACACGCCGGGGAGTGGGACGCCGGAGAGTGGGACGCCAGGGGTGGGGGGCACACCGGGGAGCGGGACGCCGGGGAGTGGGACGCCAGGGAGTAGAACGCCAAGGAGTGGGACACCAGGGGGGCGGGTCGCCGGGGAGCGGGACCCGCGCCCGGCCGACTGGTGCATCGCTCGACGGACCACCAATCCAGCCTGACCGCTCACACGAGCCACACGGCGCGCAGGCTAGTGCGTGGACAGGACCGGATTTCTACTCGATGTGACTGAATCTTGATTATAGCGCAATACCCTGCTAACCATTCCAGCGTCAGCACCGAACGTCAGCACCCTAACCTATCCTGCCCAGAACACTCCGTCATCCACATCTCGGGGCTGGCCCGTAGGCGCACTGGAGGCCAACCCCACCTTTGGAAGCTGCAGCCGGCCAGACTGTGGCCGTTGATCTGGGAGATGCGGTCGCCGACCCTGATGCGTCCGTCCCTGTCCACGGCGCCGCCCGCCTCCACCCGCTGCACCAGCACGCCGCCGTCCCAGCCGCCCGCGTCACACTCGGACACCACGTGGATACCTGGCGGTGCGGTGTCCGGTCACACACAGGCGTCACGTCACGCCCGGCTACAGCGAGCGAAGTCACACCCGGGTGGCGTTCGGGGATCTGATGGCGAGGGGCTTGTTATCGGACACCAACCAGGCGCCTGGCAGAACAACATCCAGCCAACCCTCACGTCAAGGTCGAAAAAGGCACGCAGCTTAACAGGTACGTGACAGTAACGGCAACATCGACAAGGCCATACACCACCCGCTGTCAGACAGCGGAACGGCACGCACGCCTGCCAACCTGAGGGGAACCGTTCATCTCTCACACCTTGTGCCCACTGCTTGTACCCCACCTAACGCTAACATGACAACAACGCGCCCGCTCGCCAGTGGATCAAAGGCCGAAGAGCTGACTAAGGAGTCACAGCTGCCCGTCAGCCAGCTCACGTCGGCCGTATGGTGCCGCGGACGCGGCTGCCCACGCCGGCGGGCGCCGGCGCGCCGGCTCCACTGACCGAGGGGACCCTGGATGTCGGTGAGCACGACCAGCTGCGTGGCGGCCGGCTCTCCCTGCTCGGGCTCCTCGTCGCTGGAGATGTCCGGCGAGACGGCGCCGCCCACCGGCTCGCGCCGCTGGTCCCGGGCGCTCAGCACCCGGTCCGCGGCTTCCGCCCACCTGGCGACCGAGGCAGGGGCACACGGCAGGTCAGAGCGCGTCAGGCTGAGATGAGGAGGTGAACCAACCACGCACTGATCAAAACATAGCTCGGCTACCAGCCATCGGCCGTTCTAAAGCCGAGATCCATGGCGCGTTGACGCCTTAGAGCTCAGCTCTGCGCGTGACATGGACGCGCAGCTGTGGCAGGAGTCTGAAGCCCTTTACGCGCAGTGCCGCTGGGCCCCGACCGGTCTGCGGCGAACGTCTGACGGCGGCACCCCGTCACAAGACAGCAATCACAGGCGGCGGTAACCCTGATTGACCTGTGACAACACCTCCAGCCCGTCGGGCAGCGAAGCCTGACTCACGCCGCGCGTAGCGTCTCAGCTCCAGAAGTGCCTAGCTCACTCCCGCGCATTGTTCACGACGGCTGACATTATCATAGTCGTCATGTGGTCATGTTTCTTAACCACATCCCAACCCTGTCATTTCAGATTGCACAACCACCTCTATCTCTGCCAGTCAATTAATACAATCACGTATGCATAGCCTGTTGACCGGACATAACACTTGATGCCGCTTCAAGGCGCATCCATTTCTGAAAAGCGCGTGCGCTCTTCAAATTTACGACGTCCGTACCAATCAGTCTCACGCGGCGTCTGCACCAGCATCACCCATTGGTGCGCGTGAGGAGACTGTGCATGTTTTTCATTGAGATGCACCATGCGGACTGCAACCCGGCGAGCCCGCGAGCCCAGCTCGGCCACTTTCACCCTGCGAACCCGGGCTTGCAGGCCGCTGCAGCAGTTTGACTGCACCGCTAACCTCAACTACGGCGTCCTCGCTCGGCTCCAATCCCGCAAAACCGCTGCCGTCGACAGCGGTTCGGAGCCCCAGCACCCTCCCGCCAACCGCCACCGCGCGCGCCCGCCACCCCCGCCTCTCGGTAAACGCGCCATTTCGCGGCAGGCTCGCGGCTTTTGGCGGGAAAACGGCGCGGTGCGGCCGGTTACGCGAGCCAGCCTTACGTCGACGGCGGCGCGCCGAGGTGGCGGGGTCGGTCGCAGGTGTGGCGGGATCGGCCGCCGGGTCAACCACGATGACCCCAGACGTGGCTCGGATGACGCCGGGCCCTCGGCGGAGGGCGCGGCACCGGTCGGCCGGGGCGGGGGCGTCACGGCGGCGGGGCCGGAAGCCAGGGCCGCGCGCGCCGGCGCGCTCCCGCGGTGCAAGGCTGGCGCCCAGGGCCGCTCCCGACAAACAGCCGGGCCGTCACGACCGCGGCCGCCGGCTCGTGCCCCGGCCCAGACACTGCGGCGCTGCTGATGCCGCGCGAGGAAGGGCGTGACACAGCGAAACGGCCGCAACGGCGAAAGGCACTCATTTCGGAGAAGTCGACAAGAGATACGGCCACACGACACGAGCGGGGACGTCTCACGGCGTGCTGCGACTGCCTTGCAGAAGTGGGGAAGCCACGGTGCCGCGGGGATGGGTCGTCTCACCCCTTACGAACGCGCGCCGAGTGTAAAAACAAACATAACATGGAAGACCACCGGCTCTCACCATCGCCGTGCTCGGACGACGCACGCTACCCCACCGCCACGCGACAGCAGCTCTACGCTCCGCCGAGGTGTGCGGGAGGCCTTTGTTATGGTGATCGCGGGGATGTTGAGAACGGCGCGCAGCTGCGACTGCGATGCGCGTACACATCTCCTACCGGCGCGCCCATCACAATCTGGTGAGGAGCTGCGGTGTGTCCGCCACATCCGCTGCCGTGCCTGTGCCTGGGTCGCAGCTCCGGCCGGCGGCGCGGACGCTTCTCACCTCCACATGCTGTCGCTGTTGCCGAGGATCTGCATGGAGAGCCGGTTGGAGTCGCGGGTGAGCCTGGGCAGCGTCAGCCGGTCGCGCTCGTCGCCGGACGGCTCGCCGCGCTCGCCGGGCGGCGTCAGCGGGTCGCAGCTGGCCGTCTGCAACAACCGAGGCGCCGCTTAGACCAGCTGGCCGGGCGGTGGCGGCCCGAGGCGACCGGCGGGCCCGGAACACGACACGGCCGCGACCAAACCAGCCACACATACATACACTCGGGCCAATCGAAAGCTTCTTTGAAAAAATGTGCGGTCGCCACATAACATGCCATACCAGATATCATCGCCATCCATGGTATACTGTATGCGTATCGATACACAGTAGTAATAGATTAACAGCAGGCATTCGCCGCTACAATGGACAAACCAGCCAACTGCGTAACGAGGTGAAACTCTGCGGGGTGCGCCAGCTGCTCGAATATGAAGAAATTGTCCTTTCTGCATCTCACATGCACAGCACTTCTCTGGGGTTTCCATCGGGTTTCCGCGTCACGGTACATCTTGTTTACAGGTTTGCCAGCATTGGTATAGCCGCAATACTGTTTTGTTTCAAAATACAGTCCTATTACTGCGAGTTATCAGGATTCCTCTGGAAGTGTTCATGAAGAGCAAACTACTATCCCCGAGCTGGGGCCAGGTGGACACAACCCTCAAGGCACGTATGCATTATGCTACCTGCAATCTACAGCCGGTCGTGAATGTTATTGTCCGCAGCAGCTGGTGAACGCTAGTGTTCGCAGCAGCTGGTGTGCACAAAGATAAATTTGCCACCTGTTACGCCATTGAAAGACCGTCGAGTTTGTGCATGGTGCTGAAAGAAAGGTGCTGGTGTTGGAAAAGCTTTTTAACCTTGCAGCTCTTGCAAAAGGGCACCGCAAAACATGATTACTACTTTCCTACCATACCTTTTCCCTGTCCTTCGATCGGACCGTCACCCTGCACTCCCACCGGCACTTAGCAGGCCATGCAGGCGCCGCGTGACCGACTGAGCACATCGCCGAGCGCCGTCTGCCAGTTTCATCAGAGCGCCGTCATGGCAGGCCTCGGACGAGCCGTCCCGATTTCTCATCTCCACTGTCCGACGTGACTGAAATCTGGCGGTCGGCGCGCGCGGCCAGTTGGCGGCGGAGCGCGGCTCGTGCCGGCGCACACCGTACCGACGCCGCTCGTCCGGCGCCAATCACGGCGCCCCGCCGCGCCATTAGCCGGCGCGATGAGCAGCGTCACCGGTGACCTCTGTCGGCCGGGCCGATCATGCCGGGACGGCTGAGACGCACACCGGCCGGCCCGCGCCCGTGCGTCAGAACACTGGGTCATCAGCCGGCCGGCGCCGGCACGGACCGGGACCCTGCGCTGCTCGAGACGGAGCGGAGCGACCCTGCGCACGTCCCGACAGCTGCTCTGTAACTCGGCCGGGGGAGGGGGCAGAGCTATCGTACACAGCCGGTGGCCGGGCGGGTGGATTGCAGCGTTCATGCCCCAACGTGCGCCGCGCTCGCCACTTCAGGCGGCGCTACTGGCTCAGGAGCGTCCCGCTCTGGTCAGGACTCGCACCGGGCCCTGATCAGGTCAGCGGTCGCCGGGGCTTCCCGCGCGGGGTCAGGAGCCGCCCCCTCCCAACCTCCGGTTAGGACTCGCTCCGGGCCCTGATCAGGTCAGCGGCCGCCGGGGCCTCCTACGCAGGGTCAGGGGCCACCGCCTCCCCAGCGGCACGTCTGGGTTGACCGGTGCCGTGGCCAGGCCATCAGCATCAGCCCGCTGCCACACCGCCGTCTGCCACATCCACAGCCGGCCGGGCCGCTTTGCTCGCGGAAACCCCAGACAGGCGAACGGCATACGGCCGACGACCTCATAGGAAAAACTAGTTTGGAAGCTTTGGATGACGTTAATGGAAAGTTAAAGGTGGCATAAATATATTTTCTGCAACGCAAATAGCCACCCCCACGCCACTGTGATCGCTGAGGCAGGTGCCCGGGCGAGGGAAATCCACTCAGAAGCTGCCCTTATCCGGGGGCGCAAAAAGCCGACTAATCTCAGTTCCGTGCCAGCATACGCCCACTGTTCGCGTCGGTTGCGTGCCGTCAGTTTAGACAACAGTCAACGCAACGCGATATGTTTATCGCCTTTATCCGCACCAATGATTTACCTCTGAGACCTTGGCTTTACGGCCCAGCACGCTGCAGTCTACGACAGGGGCAAGAAACATCCTCCCTGTCGTGCCTGTCTCCACGACAATATTTATGGCGATCCGTTTCGAAGAAAAACAACGCGTTTCCCTGCCACTGCCAGTGTCAACACAGCTATGGCGACTGTGGCTTGGCGACATCGCAAGCGCGCACTCACGCCATGCACCAGCCACATCAGACCGCCCCGAGGTCTGGCGTAAACAAAGCCTACACCTCACGAGCTCAAACATCGCCTCCAAGACGGCGGCAGCAGCAGCGCCTTAAATCGCTCCAGCTGAGTCATACTCCACGGTTCGCGTCCACCGCCGCCCGGCGCCGAACACGGGGTCATTTGCCGGACCGTCGCCAGCTTGTAGCCCACCTGTCGGCCACCTGACCGCCAGCGCGCCGCGCGGAAGGGGTGACGAGGCATCGGCCGGCCGGGCCTCGCCACGGCGCGCCGGACACTGCGTCACGTGACTGATCGGTGGGGGCGGGGCACTGGCCGGCAGCGGCGGCTCTGCGCCAGATGGGCAGCTCAGACACAACGCCGGGCTAAAACGCCGCCGAGCATTCAGCTACTGACGAGTCTGGGAGTGTGACGTCACACCTCTCAGAGCGCCCGGCGACCCTGCCGCCCGTCTCACCGACAGGAAATGACGTCACCCAACTGATGCAAGCATGTATGGGGGTACGTCGGTAAAAATGCAAACCCTTTCCCGGGCTGCACACTCTGGCTGACAGCGGCCCCGACGGGGTTTCCAGCCGCCTCCTGCTCCCACCACTCCGACCTCGCGTCCGCAGGAACAATGCGCAGCGCCACGAGTCGGCAGCTTTCACGAGACGCGCCGGGTGCCGTCACGGGGCAGGCGCGCCGCCGGCCGTGGCCGTGCGTCACGACCTCGCCCGGCCGCCCGGCCGACACCGCCGCCCGGCCCGGCCCAGCGGTTTCTACACCGGCCGCGCCAGTGATAAGGACCCTTTCGCGGGCTGTTTTTGAGGATGCGGCGCACTGCCAGGCGCCCTGCGCAGCACGTGCGCAACCTGTTTGCTGGATCTTTGAAGGTCAACACGCACATTGCAGGGCTTTGATTTGTGCGATATACGTACCCTCGCGTCAGCGTTACTGCAAAATGAAAAAGGGCATTGCCCAAGCACTGCACTCAAGAATGGAGGGCAGAAACCCAAGGCGCATAAGACGGAGTAAGATATATAAATCAATAGCACTAACCTGGCCAGCAAGATCAGGTAACCTTTAACAAAAAACGCAACTTGACGCCAAAAAAGAAGAAATCGACAGAAGCTCAAGGCCTTTCTTGCTTCCATCACGGTAAACGGACACTCACAACGGGAAAACTGTGGCTCGCTCCGTTCTGCCGGATCTGTCGTACCGTTGGAAACGACGGCACCAATCAGAGCCCGACCAATGCGTGTCTGAGGGCGGATCTGAAACCTACCGAACGCTCCTGTTTTTGCCACCGTTTTTCCGTCGCCACTGGTCAATTCCAGGGCATGCATCAGACACACACAATAAAAATGACCATAAAATGTGATCCGAACCAGGTAAAAAGCTTTGATGCAACCCTCGAATTCAAGCTCTCCACAGCTCTGACACGCCTTTCACTACCGGCTGGCTATCATGTGCCAACCCTGCACGCGCAGCGCGCCCGCCGCATCCGACACCACGAAAACACGGGCCGCCCCGCCACAAAAAGGGCGCGCGTCGCGGCCGCTGGAGCGGCCGGAAGCCCGTGCTGACGGGCGGCAGGGGGTCGCCGGCACCGCACCGGACGCGGCCCGGGGTCAGAGTCCCGCCGGCGGTGTGTGGGGCTCGCCGGCGGCGCTGCACGCCGAGGTCAGGTGAGGCCCCGACGAGTTCACATGGGACGGGTCACCTTCACAGGACACGTGAGGCTAGCAAGCGCGGCGGAGACGCCGGTCAGGCCGAGCAGCGCCAGCGGCTCCGGCTCCAGCCCCGGCCCCGGCCCCGGCGCCGGACCAGTCCCCGGCCAGCTCATGGTCAGGTGGCCGCCGCCGCCGGCACCCTCACGACACCGACCGTATGCGGGCCGACACGGCACGGGCCGGCCGTGCGTCAGGGAGAGACGGAGAGAGAAAGAGAGAGAGCGGCGACGGGAGGCGACTCACCTGCTCCGACCGGCCGCTGCTCGGGACAGCACCACCGACCAGTCTCGCCAGCCCAGCGCCGATCAGCCGGAGCACCTACCGATGCTGCCGGCGACGCGGCCGTCTCCGAGCTCACAGGGCACCGAGCACGCACTGGCGGCAGCCCCGCCGGACCGAGCCGGGCTGGACCGCGGCGTGACTCGGCGCAGTGGGCGGGCCCGCCGCTTCCGTCGCCGGCGCGTGATTTCCGTCTCGGCACCACCGAATCAGCCCGGCCTGGTTCCGGGACCGGGCGGTTCAGTGAACCAGCCTGCATGAATCAGCTCGGAGGCAGGCGCCACCGGAGACAGGCGATCCGTGCAAGACGGCGGCTCCCAGCGCGGCTGTCGCGCTGGGGCCGCTCAGCCGCCCACCGGCCCGGCGCGAGCACGCTCCGGTCCAGCGGCGGCGCCTGACCAGCTGGCGGGCGACCTCGCTCCCGAAAGCCAGCACCGGCGCGGGGCGGGCGAGGGGCGCACGAGGCGCGCCAGACCGACGGTCCGCAGACGGCCGCTGCGTGCGGAGCAGCGCGCTGAACGTCCCTGACGGCGGCGCTGCTGCCCCCTCAGGTCACGTGCGGCCGGCGGCGGCGCGGGGCGGCGCCGCTGGCGTGCCCGGCGCCGCTGCAGCCGCCGCCCAAGGCCCCGATTGGAATCGCCGCCGGCCGGGCCGCCGCGTCGCCCCAAACAGGGCCGTGACGTCACGACACCGGTGGGCAGCGGCGCCGGCGGCCGCACGCCGCGCCGAATGCCGGCACGACAGCGGCGGCGACCTTGATTTCACCGGCGCCCGGTCAGTCGGCCGACCCGATCGGCCGGCCGGCCAGGCAGCGCGCCCCCGAGCGCCGAGAATCCACTCTCGGCCGAGAACGGCGGCCGAGCCGTGGCTGGCGCGCCGTCGGGAGCGGACGGAAGCGGTCCCCGCCGACCGCCGAGTTACGCCGGCCCGCAGAATGGCCTCGATGTGACGCGAGTGCCGCGCATTCTCGTCGTTAGGCTCCGACGCATACTTCTAATTCCTTCCCAGAACGTGGGAGTACCGGCACACTTAACGGGTATACCCGTTACCCTCATCCATTCACGGCTCCCATACTGACTTTTCTGAGGTAGTCAGTTACAACACCTATCGAGCGCTAACGACATATTGGGGCTATCAGAGCTGTCGTTATGCGCAGCTGCGGCCGAGTCGCTGACGCTGGTGCCAGGCCCCGCTATTCTTTGGCACAGCTGGACCTGAATCGCCGCTGCTGCTAGTGTAAGCTGTTCGCAAGTCTCCAGTTCGGCTCCGGATCGGCCCGCGATCAGCACTGGCGCACGGCTGCTACAGACAGGGACACGGGTCGCTACCGACAGGGCCACAAGCCGATACCAACAGGGACACGGGCCACTACAGACAGGGACATGGACCGCTACTGACCTTGAGCGGGGTGGAGCTAGCCTGCACGTCGTCGTCGATGATCGGCGCGGCCGACCATCGTTTGCTGGCGTCGCCGCGGCTGGCCGGCGGCGGGAACTGGGGCAGCGGGCAGATCTGGTTCAGGGCCGGCTCACTGCCCCGCCGTACCTGCGGCGACACGGGGCCGGTCAGCGGCGGTCAGACCGGCCGCGGCGGCCGACGAGAGCGGTCAGCTGTGGACACGCCCGGCACAACGGCAGCGAAAGATGGCCAGTTCTGTGACAGACGGTCGCAGGTGGTCACACACACGACAGATCGCGTGTGTCGGGGACAGGTACAGTAACACATGTTTGTGCCGAGAGCAGGGGCTGTTGCGGGCAAAGCTCACCGAATCACAGGATCGGCCTAGGGCGGGCACAGACGGCCACCGCGTCCGTCAAACAGGTAACAAGTAACACTGTGTCAGGCGGTAACAACGGACATCACATGGTCACACCCTACGACAGCCGACATGATCGACCACCATGAAGAAACCAGCGCGATCAGATCGGCCAGTGGTGGCGATGTGGTTCGACAGCCCGGCCGTAGACGGCTGAGTCAGGCTGACTACGCCCAGCGCCCGGCGGCCGGCGTCGGGCGTACCGCTTTCCCTGCCCTCGCCACCTCCCCCCCCCCCGCAAACACTGGAGTCGGGCCGCAGGCAGGCCCCCCTCGTGTCTCGGCACGCGCCAGGCCGCATCCGTGTCAGCCAGCGGCCGGCGTCGGGCCACGGGCAAAGGGGCCTTCCCTGTCTCACCTCCGCAAACACTGGAGTCGGGCCGTAGGTAGGCCCCCCTCTTGTCTCGGCACAGGCCGGACAGTAGCCGTATTAGCCGGAAGGGCCTCTGACCAAGGAAAGGAGTCGGGCTCGCTCGTCTTCTCCCGAGCGGGCGGCAGACGCGCCCCTCACACGTGGGCACAACACTGGACTTAACTGATACATGGGCGATATCGGCGGCCGACCTTTCAGCACTGCTTCGATCCAAACGGAAATGGGTGGGGGGTCACAAATTGTTGCTGAGGTTTGATTCTTATTTCACAAGGCTGAAATCTGGCTCGTTGCTAGCTGGCCACCCACATATACACAAGAACCTCAATCGGTTGAAAGGTTAGCAGGATCCCCGGCCCAGCCGTGGTCACGTCCAACAGTCGAGAGCCAACCACTCTGAACCAGTGGCAGACGCTGCAGCAGACAACTGAGCTTGGCTGCTCCCGGAGCAAACTTCAGCACACAGTGCTCATGATCTGAGTACTGGGGAGCTTAAATAAGCCATCGGGAGTTGGAGGAAGCTGCAAATAGCATCGACAAGCATGACGAACGTTGGAAGACCTCCTGCAAGCCAGTGAGCAGCGGCCGGTTACGTAGGCGTCTCTGCCTGCGCCAACGCCCGATAGGTTACGACGCTGGCGTTGATCAAATGCAGGCCCCAACCACATGGGAGCTCTAACCATATTCGATGGCTACTATGAGGAATACTGAACCGTCCCAGCACGCGGCATCTCCCACCGATCTAATCCCATCCCGCCTCTGCTTATCGGCACAAAACTTGATGAGATCTTCCCATGAACCCGGTACTTGGCTAAGCGGCACGCCCCGGACCGTAAATCTGTGAAGTGCACCCGGCTGCGACCGCTGCCTGCCGAAGCGGCATTTTTCCCATGGCACAGCGTGACTCATCGGCATCAGAACTGATGGCGCGGCCAGAACTGAGCCCAGCTCACGAGTTCTCACTGCACCGCTGATGTCACGTGGTTATGACGTCACGCTGAGTCTCACTAGCAGACCATTTGGAGACACAAGGGGCATATTTGCGTCACCGCCATACAGGTGGGCCCACGCCTCGGCTGAGCCCCGACCCGTCACACGAGGCGTGGGGCCTTACCACCGCGCGGCCGCGTCACGCAGGCGGGTCCCCGCCTCGGCTGAACCCTGAACCGTCACACAGGGCGCGAGGCTTTCCCGCCACGCGGTCCCGTCACGCAGGAAGGTCCTCGCCCGGCTGAGCCCCGACTTGCCACATGGGGTGCCAGGGCGACCTACCGCCGCGCGGTCCCGTCATGCAGGCGGGTCCCCGCCTCGGCTGAACCCCGACCCGCCACACGAAATGCGAGGCCTTACCGCCGCGCGGCCGGTCTATCCTTACGAAGCCTGAGCCGGAATGTCGTGCTGACAGCACGCATACGGTCCAGTCAAAAATCGCACACCAGGCCAATCAGCCCCTCTTATCAACGAATGGAAGCACGTTTTTTGACGCTAGAGGAAGAGCAGACGCAGGAAAATGGTGTGGAAAATTCACATCAGTGGAACATGCACATTTATCTTTCGGTGAGCCTACCATTGATTCCAAATGACATTCTCGTAGAATTTAAGCTACGAATAGGTGTTACCATTCGAAACAAGTAGATGCCCTAGTTTCTAAAGCGACATGTTGCGCAAGACTTGGTACCTGCAATCATTTATCTGGGGCTGTTGTCACGAAACATTAGAAAAAGTGCACATGAATCTAGAGATTGATATGAATTTTACACACCAAGCCCCAAGACGGTATGGAGTTCTCCACACTAATCCCATACAAAGCGTTCGGCATGCACGCGTAACTCTGCATTTCCAACCTGCAGCAACTACAGCGCATGCCGGCTTCCAAACATTCGCCAAGAAAGCATCGTCACGTCTGAACTCTAACAAGGAAATATTGATAGCAGGTGGCGCCCAGCCGGTGCCAGCAATGTAAAGTTTGCAGGCTACCCGCCTCAGCAAAGCTTCGGTGACACTGATTACATAACTTCGGCTTGCTGGAAGGAACTCACCCGCCGCAACTTATCACGAAAATCGATGGCGTGGATGCAGTTACGGCCCGGTGGCATTTGCTTTGTTGGCCAACATGCGGTATTCGTCCGAGCTTTCTCACCCACGACACCTGTCCTAACAAGCATCAACAGACACAAGATCCCGACACACACACGGCTGCGCGTTGGACGGCGGCCGCCTGCCTCAACAAGGGCACAATCAGCCCAGATCGGAGCGTCCGGACTATGCGCGTCACGCGAAGCGCCCGTCTTTGCCCCGACACAGCGCGGCTCTGTAGATGCTGGAGAATGCCAGGCGATACCCAGACAAGCACTACAGTTAGTGTCAACGTCGGCCGCGGGTCACGTGGGGACCACCGGAACAACGCGATAGCTGAGAACGACCCGAGCAAGAGGTGAGGGGGTTTAGTCGATCTCGAGAGCTTCCCAGTTCCTGCAGACAATGCCGGCCTCCCTAGTACGAACTCAGCGGAGAACGTGCAACTACGCCTCCACACCGGAACCCCGCGAACGCGACCCACTTCAGAGACAGGGCCTGTAAACAAGGGTGATTACCAGTGAAAAATGTACCGTCAGGCCGCCGCATTCTCGGTGAGTTCTTGTTTCGCTCCATCGGACACAATCCCTGAACGCCATCATTAGTTCTCCTTGTGATCGCCAGATGGCAAATAGGCTGTCACGGCCTTCTTTAGCAGCGTCAACCCGCCAGACGGCCACCTGCAGACGTGGCGGAAAAGGCAGCACGTGGACCAGTGCACCTCCGCAGGTGCTTTGATTGTTTTGCCTTCAGCTTGCCACGAAAATACCCGCCGCGTTGTGACTTTGCATTCTGGAAGCCGAAGCCATTCACACCGGGGAACTGAATGAAGACGGGTTCGCAACACAGCGGTCTATTTTACCACTGCCAATGACTGCCAATGACACCCACAGCCCATAAAGTCTCACGAGCGGGCCCAGCAGCGGCCCAAGCTCCAGCAACAGGAGCACGACCTTGACCCGCGCCGGCTGCCGACGGCGCTCATAACAGCGTACCACTTAGCTCGGCCGGCGGACCGCAGACGGTCACGATCGGCTCTAACACCCGCGCCCAACCGAGCCTGTCCTCGCTGCCGCGCCGGGCGCGGCGTGCTCCAGCGGGCCGCCGCTGCCCGGCCGGCGGACCGCAGACGGTCAGGACCGGCTCTAGTACCCGCGCCCGACCGAACCTGTCCTCGCTGCCGCGCCGGGCGCGGCGTGCTCCAGCGGGCCGCCGCTGCCCAGCCGGCGGACCGCAGACGGTCAGGACCGGCTCTAACACCCGCGCCCGATCGGGCCCGTCCTCGCTGCCGCGCCGGGCGCGGCGTGCTCCAGCGGGCCGCCTCTGCCCGGGCCGGCCGAGAGCGCCGGCCGCAGCCGCGTGACCGGCACGCTGAAGGTGCGGTCTGCGGTCGGCCGGCGCGCAGGACCGGCTGTGTTTTATCAGCAGAGGTTACGACCGGACAGTCACGTCCCACAGCTGAAATACAGGCAGAAGCTCGCAGGGGAGGTCTAACAGACTTGAAGAAGGCAGTGAACCATGAATGGACCAGTTCGAAATGGAGTATGGTATCTTCAGAATAACGGTGATATGCTATACGCTAGTGAAGGCGTTTTAAATCGGCAATCTTTCTTTTGCCAAGGACCAATTGTCCGGTTCAACCAAACAGAAAACTATTCCATTCGCACTGCCTTTCTATCCCATTTAATTTTTCTACCAGATTATCTGTGCATAAGTCGACCACAGGAACTAGAACCAGACGAGCACAGCTCGCCGCTAGGATAGCGCTTTCTAAATTTGTTGACGGGAAGGCAAGACTTTCCTCGTATGCAGTTCTTTCCTAAGCTGTCGGGCTTTACCGGCGGCTTTTCTGGTAATTTTAGCTCCATATATGTGTGTGAGGCGGGGGGGGGGGGGGAGGAGGCAAGAATGCGGACGCCCCAAGTGACGCAAAGCTCCATTCATGTTCACCGTCACCAAAATGCCCGGGTTTCACCCAAGCCCCCCCCCCCCCCCCGGCTCAGCTCCCCAGGAAGCAACGAATCAGTCACCTCACCCATCTGGGGTAAGCACGTATGCTCCTGCTCCAGCCAACACCCCTTCCCTCAGCTCCCCAAGAGGCGACGAATCAGCCGTCTCGCCCACCTGGAGTAAGCAAGTGTGCCCTTGCTCCAGCCCCCCCAGAAGGCCACGAACCGGCCGCCTCACCCACCTGGAGTGAGCACGTGTGCTCCTGCTCGCCGGTGACCTCGATGTCGACCCGCGAGAACGGCTGGAACTTGTGGTCGCCATTCTGCAACAGACCACACCCGTCAGAAGCCTGGCTGGGGAGTACACTCAACGCACGCGGGCGCCGGCTGCGTGTTCAAACAGATCGGAGAGCTGTCCTCGGCACGAGCGTTTCAGCGGGCCTCACGTCACGTTCAGCTGATCGCGCACGAGCGCCGCTGGCACAAACGCGCCGCAGACGTGCCTAAATCATTCAGCATCTAGAACAGCGCCGTCGTTAGCACGTGAGCGACATGCGGCCGCCTGCTGCCTTCGGCCGATCAGACAGTAGCAAGGTCGGCCTGTGTCAGCCGAGCTGCACATGAGAACTGTCGCCGCCAATACCGGAACGATACGGATACGGCATTAGTTTTAGATGAGAGACGGGGTGAGGGTGGGGGGGGGGGGGGGAACTGAAAAAATAACCGGCCGGCCCCTCCTGCCAACCACTCAGCGTACCGGCGAGCCGACTGCATGCGCGGCTGATCGCGCAGCTGCCGTAACGCCGACGGATCATCAGTCGCTCTTCTGTCCCGTGCAGACGTCTGCCGACTGCCATTGACCCCGCTGCTGCGCCGCTGCGCCGAACCTTGTGCGTTGGTACACCATCGCCGGGTCTGTGCGGACCGCGGGGCTCGGCAAACTGCACAGACCAATGGACGCGCTCAGCCGAGTTCAGCTCAGCTGCGCAGAGTTCGGCGCCCAGCCGCACACATCGGCCGCCGCGCCGCTGGCCATTCCATCAGGCCACTCCCTCGGCGGCTTTTTCGCTAGTCCGAGTCAACGATCGGCTCGGCCGGCGAAAAACGCGGCGGTGGGAAGGCACGGCACCGGAGGTGCGGCCTGGGAGCGCGCCGAGCGGCCGCCTTGCCTCCCGAGAGGACCGCCACCATGCGACCATCCCCACCGGCCATGCAGCGAGAGAGCCGTCACCCTCGCGCCCGCCTCTGCCGTCACAGCCGCCCGCCGCAGGCCCTCGCCGGCCTCACCACCTCCACCGGTCGCCGTCGCCCGGCCGGCCGTTCTTTAATAGCCGCCACACGGCGCCGGCGTGATGGATGGTGGCGGGCGTCGCCGCCTCAGACGGCCGCGCGCGGCACCGGACCGCCGCGCCGCGCCGCGCCGGTCCCGGCGGCACGAGGACGGCCGCCGCGCCGGTCCCGGCGGCACGAAGACGGCCGCCGCGCCGGTCCTGCCGCTGCCCTGACCTCGCGCGGACGCGAGCGGCAGCGGCTGGCGAGAGGTCCGGCCGCCGCCGCGCCGCCCGAAGCGACGCACTGTCGCCGCGATCTGAGAACACCGACCGCTGTTTCCAGCCATTTGGAGACCGGCTCCCGCAAACTTCTCTGCCTGCCCACTCCGATTTCACGCCGCTGGTTTTACGCGCCCCTGGCTAAGTGCGGCCAATGACTCTGGTCCGGCACCTCTGGCACGTGGGAGAGCTTAACCACAACACAGGCTGCTATGGTGCCACATTCAGCAAGGTGACCCTGACCCTGGAAATCTCAGGTAAACGGTACACTCACTGAAATGTTCCGCTGCTAATGACCTGACATGGAACTACGACATCAGATGCACAGATTATACTTTCAACGAATTACTCGATCAAAAGAACAACCAGACCAGTCCACCTTCGCTCAATGGTCTTAGCAATTCAGTAATGCAGGGACATCAAACAGCCCGCATTTATCTTGACTGACGGGTGAATGGGAACAGTATGTGTGCATTCTAAGGCAAAATGTATCCCACTGACAAGATACATTCATCCTGATCTGAAGCCGACAGGCTCTTCATCGGCTCAACAAAAGCCACATTAGCAGAGCGTAGCCTTCCGCCCGCCGTCGTCCGCGTTGTGACGCGTCACACCGCAGCTGCGACGTCACGGGCCGCGTCACGCTCTCTAGCGCCACGCTCTCGTTATCTGGCAGCGGCCGGCTCACGCGGTCCGGAGACGCCGCCATACCCCAGAGGCGGCCGATCGCCGGCCGCGGCCCCGTGTCGCAACAGGCCGGCGTCCACGAGCGGCGAGGAGTGGCCGGGGCTGCCGGGCTCGGCGCCGCCGCCCGCCACACCGCGACGGGCGCCAACGTGCGCCGAGACCGGACGAGCGGGCCATTGTGGCGGTGACACCCGCCAACTGGCCCGTCGGCAGGCCCGTCAGGAGCAGCGCGGTCATCGCGGCCAGTCCATGGGACCAGCAGGCTACTGTGGCGGTGACTCCCGTCGACTGACCCGTCGGCGAGCCCGTCAGGGGCGGCGCGGTCATCGCGGCCAGTCCACCCGGCCAACAATAACGAGGTTAATAGCCGGGCGAACTTGAACTGGAACAGGTTTTTGTCATCGACGGAAAAAAACATGGCCCCAAAGCTTGACGACAGCGACAGTGCATACGTGAACGGACAGGGTAATAAAACACACCGGGTCCAGCGGGCGAGATTGCGCCGTCACTCTCTCAGGCGCATGGCTGGGGATTGGAAACTACACGTCCAAGGGCTGCTATTCTTGGCAGCTTAAGCCCCGAGAATGGAAAGGCTCTCTCTCTCTCAAGCTAATAAGGTCAACCGCGTCCTCAGCGGGCGCCATGTCTTTCCAGCCACGTCCTCAGCGGGCGCCGTGTCCAGCCACGTCCTCAGCGGGCGCCGTGTCTATTCAGCCACGTCCTCAGCGGGCGCCGTGTCTATTCAGCCCGCACGCGTGTCAGACGCTCCGTGCTCCTTAGCAGCCGGCAATGTGACGAGATGAGGTTGCATGTCGCGCAAACGAGAAGCCGCGGGATTCAATTGCATATTTTTCTGCACGTCTTCCGAGAGTAATTAACGTCCCAGTCATGCCGGAGAGCGAAAGCAAATTGCTGCTATTAACCACGGCCGTAAAGCCGCATGGCAGCAATAGCCGGGTGCTGCCGGGCATGAAAACGGTCGAAACTATGCGCAGTCCAAGGGCCAATTCAAGGTATCTGCCGACGGGGATCAAGCCAGGCAATCGGCTCTCCTCGATGCGCACGCCAGTTGAATTTTGATTAGCCCATGTGCAATGCTACCTAAACATTGCATGTAAAATCTGGCTACGCATGATGCAGGAACCGTTGGCAGACAACGGAATGTGTCAAAGAAAAGGTCATGACTATCTCTGCCCAAATCAGACTCAACAACCCTCGAGAGAGCCCTCCGAGTCAAGGGCACCTGCATGTGACACGACGCGACACCTGCATCTATCACTGCGTTCCAGCTCCGTCCACGTCCCGACCGGTTCACCTCAGGACTCCCGAATGTCCAGCAGCACGTGCGAGCGAGCCGGGACTCGTGTGTGACCCCTGCCAACGTGGGCGCCCTCCGGCAGCACGTGCGAGCGAGCCAGGACTCGTGTGTGACCCCTGCCAGCGCGGGCACCCTCCAGCAGCACGTGCGAGCGAGCCGGGACCCGTGTGTGACCCCTGCCACCGTGGGCGCCCTCCAGCAGCACGTGCGAGAGAGCCGGAATCCACGTGTGACCTCTGCTACCGCGGCGCCCTCCGGCAGATGCGCGGCGGCGCCGGGATCTGTGTGATCTCTGCTACCGATAATGCGACCACTGGCGGCGATAGGCCGGTCGGAGGAGCAGGCCGCACCATTCATCACCGTTCGCCTGCCGCTGGAACGAGGCCGCGGCCTGTCATCGGCCCGCGCCCCACCTGGCAGCCTGGGACGGCCTGGGCTGACGCTGAGGCTGAGGCTGAGACTGAGACTGAGACTGAGGCTGAGGCTGAGGCTGAGGATGGGCCTGGGTTGAGGCTAAAGCTAAGATTCTAAGTGACGTCACGTAGATTAGAACATTATTGGTGCGCCGCGAATACACCCTCAGAGCAGCCGGCGCAACGGGACATCGCGGTAATTGATTGAGGCACGGATCTCGTCCGGGAGGGAGGGGGGGGGGGGGGGGCGTCGCGAGCGCGGGCCGTCGGCTACTGACAACGCGGTTAACGTCTGCCCGAAATGGATGTCGTCCGTTATCCTCCATAACAGATGAAAGATCGACGTGCGGCGAAAGGTGTCTGGCCATTAGCGCTTGACAGCTGTAGGACCACAGACAAACCCGAGCGACAGTGCCACAAAAACAAAGACAAAACAGAAGGCGAATATGCGGTGGTCGTCCACTTCTTCACACAACGGCCTCTACTTCTTCAGCCCAGCAGGTACACAGTGCATCATCAGCAATACGAGCAGCCGAAGATAGACTTAACGACCCCACTTTCAAAACATGACAGGACAGCCACGTGAAAACCTGCACCGTGCTAAATGACACGAGTCCTGGCCGCAAAAAAACCGGGCAGGTAAAACGAGGGGTCCAGTTGAGGCATGCAGTGTGAATTTATTACAAGTTTCACCAGTGTCCAGTCAGCGTCCGACCCAGACCAGCTGGAAGTCCAGACCAGTGCCCGACCCAGACCGGCTGGAAGTCCAGACCAGCGCCCGACCCAGGCCGGCTGGAAGTCCAGACAAGCGCCCGATCCAGACCGGCTGGAAGTCCAGACCAGCGCCCGATCCAGACCGGCTGGTAGTCCAGACGACAGGAGACCGAGAATCTGACGCCACTGTCCAGAATGACGCCATGCTGGCCTCTCGTTGATCCCAAGACAGGACTTGGCGGCGCCAAGGATTAGGTAGAGCGGAACACAAGGTCACGACCCGACTCCCCCCTCCCCCCTGGAACCGCGGGTCCGGCGCACGGGACAGCCGCGCAGACAGACGTCCGCCGCGGCCAGCCACGTGTCTGCTGATCCGCCCAGCCAAACACGACACGACGTCACGGCAAGCCAGCGACACCGGCAGCCACGGCGCCGAACATTCCCACGTCCGTCTCAGGACCGCGAAATCCGCGCCGTCGCGCTGCCGAATCAGCCGCACAGCGCTGACATTCCGTGTCATCCGCCGTCACACGGCACCCCGCAGAAGCCCGTCACACCCGGACCGTGCGACCGGGGTCACTGGCGGCCAATGCCTCTCGCGGACAGCGCCGCTCGCCTGATTGAAACAGCCCTTGCCCGTT